TTTATAGACCTGTAATTCTCACTCAGCAAATGAACAGGCTTTTCATTTTTTTTGCTGCCCAAGAGACCATTTTTTTGAGACTTCAAACATGAGGAAGCCTTGCTACATAAGCTTTCCATTAATGGATTTTGAACCTGTTTTGTACTAGTGTTGCACAGCAAGAGATAGTAGAAGAATGAGGCTGTATGTAGCAAAAACAGTAGTTAACAGTGATCTCTTTCAGTCTAAGCATGAATGTGTGAAACTGCCTTTATATTGAATTTGACCAGTGGTTCATTTAATAGACTGGTATTATGTATCTTGACCAGGGTTGTCTGGAAGGTCACAGCAAAACTTTCCAAGCCTGCATGAAACATGCAAAAGAATAAAACTGCATACTCTGTCTTTGAGAAATGGATCCTTCCTTTCTCGTTGAGCCTTAATGTTCAGTTTCTGTAGATTCTGGAACAGGGAGGCGGCAATAACAGCATGAAGGGCCTGACAGACGCTTTCAAGGACTATAATTGAGTTGGAGATTTGATCGAAAGCTGCGGAAACTGCTGGTTCCACCAGAAAGATTAAAAGGGGCAGAGAAGGGAGTGGGGTAAGAGTTGCCCCTTAACTGTAAAGGCACTCTCTGATCTGCTTATAGGATTAATAGCTGAAAGCGGGACCTCTTTTTTAAAAACCAACAGGCGAAACCCCCAAATCCATACTCTGTTGCAGACTTTGGCTTCCTCTGCAAGAAAAAAACAAAACAAAAGAAGAAAGGAAAATGTGTCAGGATTTTCATCAAAATGATCTGTTTTAAGATCAGAGGCCAAAAGGATAGTGAACATTGAATTTCATGGGAGTTATTGAAGAGAATATTATTTAGAATATTATATTTGTTTGACTAGAAAGAGAATGCCATTGTATTTCATTTGAAAAAGGGGCCAAGAATTGGGAGCAGCTTTCCCCTTTATTTCTAGAGTAAGGTGCTTTATGGACCATAGGTGGCCCACTTGGAAGTTAAGACAGATTTGCTAGTTTTGTTGATGATTGCAATGGAGTTTACTGTGATGCGTTAGAACAGCTGTTTTTCTTTCTCAGATTTGACCCTTATAGTGGATGCTGATTTAATAGCCCAACTTCTTTGTTTACAGGGGACAGAAACTTGGGTATTTGAAAGCCCCATGTACCGGTACTCTTTTCACTTAATAAATGCCTGTCAGATGAAATGAAGAGTGGCTATTTGTAGACAGGACCAGTAGCCTTCAATTACTCCATGTCCTCCCTCTGCTGAGTTTAGGTTGTGCTTATTTCAGATCAGTTCCTTGTTCTGCAATTCAGCAGTTGGTAAATGAGTTCTCTGACTCTTGATGCTGACAGAGGAAACAATTGGCACAAATTCCAAAACAAGTTTAAATTAAAATGTTGACACAAAATGCATCTGCTATTCATGGAAATGGTCTAGTTTGCAGACTAGTTTTAAGTTCTTATGCACCATGTGCTTTTTTTTTGATGAAATTTCCAGAATTTATTTGAAAGTATTTATTCTATACAGTGGATCATATTGACTATGGTTCAAAGCTGCATATGTGTGTGCAGCAGTTGATCATTTAATTTGTCAATTTATGACAGAATAAGACAGAAAATGAAAAGGTGGATCATTGTGGGCTCCCTCTCAGTTGTTAAGAGTGCTGGAAAACATGTTGAATCTCATTCCCCAAGTTACTTCCTTGGTTCTTAAGGAAAGATCTACATTCAAAGCATGTAACCAAGATTAATTATGGTTTGAAACAGGGAACAAAACTGAGACCACAGAGTCATGTGTAGCTTCTCCAGACTCTGGAGTACAGATTCCAGTCCCCTTTCAAAAGTTGCAGACAAAATGTAATTTACAATATGATCCGAACAGAAAATTATTAAATATATGAGGAGTAATTGCATTAACAAAACGTTTTGAATCCAAACTGTTTGATGCACTCCCAGGCTAAAGTCACCATTCGAAGTGTAAAACAGACTGTTCCAATGAATTGGGTAATGTTTCAAGCAGAAAAAAAGTTTTTTTAAATTTGACATATAGGTAGACCTCGACTTATGAGCATTTATTTAATGAGTATTCAAAGTTAAAATGTTGTAAAAGGTGACTTACGACTGGTCCTTGCACTTATACTGTATAGCAGTCAGGTGATCAAAATTTGAGCACTTTGCAACCAGCATGTATTGATGAGGGTTGCAGTATCCCAGGGTCACCTGCCATTTGTGACCTTCCCAAGGGGCTTCCAACAAGCAAAGCTAGAAGCTGGATTCACTTAATGTCTGTGTGATATACTTAACAACCATAGCCAAAAAACCAAAACGTATAACTGGGCATGACTCATTTAATGACCACATTGCTTAGTGATGGAAAATCCTATCCCCATTGTAGTTGAGGATTATTTGTACTTCTATGTCTTGTATTCAAAATAGAACATTTCAAATTTGAAACATGATCAAAATTGAAATATTTTGCAGACCTCCCAGTATCTTCCTGTAATATAATTAATTTTAATATTACCCATAGGAACCTCTGGTTTTTGCTTGCTTGTTATATTTCTAAAAATACAGAGAGCTGGTCATGATTCTCTGGTAGAGTTGAGCTACTTATAATGTTTAAATTATAGAAATACACAAACCCCTTTTATGTATTTCCTTGAAATTCCCTGGACAGCACCAACAAAATTTGGCAACAGATTGCTGTAAAATGGCATTTGAGAAATGTAATAATTATTAGCCAAGACCTCAGCCTTTTGTCCTCAGGCAACATTCACCAGAGATACTGCTCAGAGCTGACAGCACTGGACTGGATGAGCAAATAACTTGGCCTCGTAGGAGGAGTTTGACACAATACATGCACCATAAACAAATGAGTTGGTAACAGTTTGCCAAGTTCTAACATGCACTTCACATTATGTTTGCTCTTGCCCGGTAGATGCATGAATTGATCTAAATTTTTAAAATATACTATTTAAAAGCTGCAACTTAAAGATTAAATGGAGAGATTATGTTTTTGATGTGTGTATCTCAGTCTAGACAACATCAGTTCAACTAAAAATAAACACTTAACCTTTTAATGGGTCCTCACCCATCTGCAAACTCAAATTGCATGGCATAAGAATAATGCAAAATGTTCCACTTGGAATGGCCTAATAGCACTGCCTGTAACAACACATGCTTAAGTGTTTTGAAGGGTGAAGTACAGGTTGCATTTATGTGCTTACTAAATGCAAAGGCAATTTAGAACTCAAGAAGAGTCAACTTCTTCTTCTTGTTCCATATCCGTTATTGGACGTTGGCGATCATGTTGGCAATCCTGTTTTTATCAGCAGCCGCACGAAAAAGTGCTGCTGAGTTTTGTCCAAACCAATCCCTTAGATTTTGAAGCCACGATGTTCTTCTTCTGCCTGGACTTCGTTTGCCTTCAATCTTTCCCTGGAGGATTAAATGCAGTATGCCATATTGACTAAATTGCTGAAAGAACAGCAATGCATTTTTGAATGCGTAACTGCTAGGATTTTTTAACTTCTAGTCTTGTGTGAAAACTATCAAGTAGAAGATAACTTCAGAGCAAGACTTTGCTGAATTGTCAGTGAACTCATGACTAAACTATGTCATTTAATAACCTTTTCCATAAGCTTTTCAGTCAATCTATGATCATAAAATTGCCTACCGAATGTGTATCATCTGATATTCTTCCAGGAGATAAGTGTGCAAAATGTTTCGGATGGCATAAATATAAGAATATTATTGGATAGTTGAAAACACTGTCACAGTATTTGAACAAAAAGTGCTGTATTTAGATTAATTACTGAGAAGATTTATGGAATCCTAAGCACGTTGACCTCTTCCACTTCTGGTATCCATTTATTTCTGTATTTATTGTTACCTGATTCTGTTCCAATCCATTGTTTTAGTTTGTCGCTACTTCTTCAAAATGCATGAAATATCCAGAGTTTTTGCTTTCTGTCCCTCAAAGCTAGGTTGTATCTGTATAGCACTGTGATATTTCTTGACAGTAAAACTACTATAGTGCACTTTTGAAAGGTGTCTTTCTCAAGATTAATAAGGCTCAGTAACAATAAGCAATGATGCAATAGGAGGTTTTTTCTTTCATTTGCTTCCCTAATTGGGGCATTTTCAGGACAGATTGTAGATTGCAAACTGGAGACTTAGCCTTCACAGAGTGGGAGAAGAGAGGCTTATATCCCTTCTCCAGACCAAACATTATCTTCTGTTTTGTGCCCTTTTTATTTACAATAACAGTAGATAAGAGAGAAGCACAGACAGCAGGGCTTAGAAAGGAAAGACATTTGGACATCTGTGCTGGGAAGCTGCTGCTTTTACACCCTATTGTGGAATGTAAATCTGGGCAGGTTTCTAACTGGCAACTGTAATTCATTTTCCTGGATCTTGGGTGGACTGCTTAGGCTAGCAGGGTGAGGAACACTCAAAGTGACCTCCCCAATTGCTAGCCTTTTACCTAGTTATCGCTCTAATTTCCCATGTGTACATTCATGCATACAAAACAGATGTTATGATGATTAGTGCAGCTACTCAATGGCATTCATCATTCACATGGGTGAATGCAGCAACTATTTAGATATTGCATGTCCTTGACTTTGGGGCATTTAAAAGTTCCTAACCTCTCATTCCTTCACTTTATATTTAATTGAATGTTTATCACTGAATTATATTAATAATAATTCTTAAAGAGATGAAGGGCAAGCCTTGTCTGTACCTATTTTCTACAATAATTAACTTCAGTGACAGTTTGTATTCACATAAGAAACAATAACTAGAGAAAAGTGTGGTTAAGGGAAAAAAATCTTTCTTCCCTTTTTTAATATGGATAGGCCCCATATGCTGAATGATTGCTTTGTTAGCAAACCAGTTATCAGAAAGACTGTGTTTCTGAGATGATTAAAGCCAGAGATTGAATCAGAGTTGATTTGGAATGAATGCATACCATAATTAAAATTTGCCTTACTTCTGTTTAGATGAAAATACTGGAGATGGTGAATTAGATCTAAGTGGAATTGATGACAGTGAAATAGATATGGTAAGAATCGTTCCACCCCCACCTCTCATAATTGTTTCTATACATATGTGGATGTTCAAAATTATCAGAGGTTTTTTTTAAATAAGGCTAATGTTATTGTTTTTCCCTCAAGAAAAAGGAATGTTATTCTATATTCTATTCAGAAGTTGCATGTGCTACACAGACAAATTAATACAAAATTCTTTATTTAAATGAAACTGATGATTGATTGATAGTAAATAAGCATGTATATACAGAGAAATAGAATAAGTAGAAATGAATTATTTGTTTTGTTTATAAAATCAGTATCTATACTTTAAATATAAAAGAGAGGAACTGTCTTTGGGAAAGCGTGAATTGGTTTGGGTGAGGAAAATGGTGGACATGATAAGGAAGGTGATTCTGCTAATTCCTATATATTCACTGCAGAAGTCTAACACTTTTACTCTCCATATCTAGTACATACTTAATGATTCAGAAGCCAGGATAAAAGCAGAATTGTGGATGAAGGAAAATGCAGATTATTTAAAGGAACAAAAGGGTAAGCAAAATAAATAAAAATCTTTCTGGTGATCTTGTTTGCTTTTTATTTGCTTATGACAGTGTTTACATATAATTTCTTAGGCTGGAAGGCTTACAAAGTGGCAAATAACAACAAACAAAAGCAGTAAACTTAGAGGGCTCAAAACATTAACTGTAACTGATAAGTTTGAAGTAAATCATAGTTACATTATTTTAAGAAGACTTAGCAGTTTTAAATACATTCTTTAACATAAAGACACAAACCCTGGGTGTGTTATCTTTTAGTTCATACCTCCACCATATGATAAAATAAGAATACTGCAAGCCTCAGGAAAGATCTCCTCAGAACTGTGAACATTGGGCATCCTTAGCTCCATTGTTTTCACTTGGGTATGTCAGAGGTATTACGGCACCTGTGACACTGCATTACTGGCCACTGTTCTAGATTTGATTCTGCTGCAGAAGGGAAAAAATCAAGTCTGTGTTTGCTCCCATCTCTACCCCCACCTTCAACCCCCGATTCTTTAAAACATTATTTCGCTTACACTTCTCTTTTATCATTTTTTTAGAAAAAGAAGCAAGGATAGCAAAAGAAAAAGAGCTTGGGATTTATAAGGAACATAAGGTAAATGGTATTTTTGAAATACTATTTGATGTGAAAAGAAACATATTTGAACAATGTTTAATTCTGTTGAATAAGACCAATAGAAAGTATTTCATTGTAAATACCAATGTTCTTTAGAATAAGAATTCAATCTTACCAGCTTGGCTGGCTTTAAAAAAGGGCTGGACCAGTAAATGAAAGTCATGGGATCATAGTCTTGATTGCTTGTGTGACTGCTTCTGAAGACCAGCTGCTGGGAAATTGGTGGGCTTCCTTGTGCAGTTGGTTGGCTACTGTGAGAACAGACTGCTTGAATTAAGACTGTAATATTATAATTTATTTTTCATCTCTATTTTTAAAATAAATATGAAGCTTATCTTTTCATGCATTCTATCATATATGCTTGTTAAAATCCTCGTGTCACTACAAATATATTATTAGTGTCTGTTTTATGTGCACTGCATAAATATATATATAAACCGTTACTTAGATTCAGACATTTTTTACTGCAGTAATGCTTTTAATATCATTAAAGCAAATCATATGTAATCCAAACTTTCTTAATTATATATTTATTTTTAAAATAAGTATTTTGAAGCTTCTTTGTCCTACTTAATAAAATAGCTAGACACATTAAGATAAGATTGCTCTCAAATTGAGCTCCATTTTTGTGGACTCCATCCATGCAGTTTTGCTGGCAGAGTTAACAGGTAGATTTGCGTGAGTTTTTTTCAGGGTATTCGTTTGATTTCCCAGTCTGGCCAAGAGCCCTGTCTTTTCTTCTGATGACCTCCCACTGAGGTTCTAACTACATCTGACTTTGCTTAGTTGATTGAGATTAGTCAAAGGTGGCTCAGTGCTGCCATAGGTAGAAAAAAGTAAATGCTTCTAGGCAGTCCTGTGACCTGTTGAGTCATCCTTTGAGAGAAAGTTAGTGCAGTCTGATTTGAATAGAATTAAATTTTAGGCCAATCATATTGGTTTTTTTAATTCAGTGCTACATAGTCCCGTGATCAGCTAAGAAGAGTGTGTGTGTGTGTGTGTGTGTGTGTGTGTGTGTGTGTGTATAAACAATCGTAATGGCAAAAATACTTCTATAATAAGAGTCAATATTTGCTTACCTAAACAGATGAATGGAATGACTACAGGCAGGTAAAAAGCAGTGGGAGCAGGAGTGACCTGACTTCCTGTTGACTTCCTTATTTATTTTGTTTTTAAGGAAACTGGCAAGGAATGTTAAAAATCATGATCATGTGAACAAGGGGATCCTGCAACAGCCATACATTTGCAAATAAACTGATTCAAATATGGAAATTTCAGTTCCACAGGAGTAATGGGCCCTGGGATTTTTAATGCTTTCTTTAAGTTAGCAGATTTTAGGCACTCTGATTCAAAACTTATTGCGGTATAATGCACTGTTTGGGCTAACTTGAGAGTACAAACAGACAAACACAATAAGAATGTTAGTAGTTACCCATTTTCATACCAGTTTTCTCTTTGAAAAATTGAAGAAATATTTATGATAGATATTTTGAAGTTATGTTAGACTTTTATACTTCAGAAAGTACTCTTTAATCTGAATTAATAAGAGAGCAGGGAAGCCTGTGTTGTTCATTTGCTTCCTCTTCCCATTAATGAAATTCCACTCCCTCTTTTGGACAAAAATTTTCTGGAAGATTTTTCAGTTATTAAAGCAGTCCATTGCACTACATTTTGAAATTTCCCCGCTCTTTTACCTGACATGCTGTGGTTCTCTTTCAAGCTGGATCAGTTGCAGCTTCAGGATTGTTGTCATTTGCACAGTCACTTCTTTCTTCAGTAGTGAAGAATATTATATATCCAAACTCTGTCCCAATAATTATGAAAGAAAGGTTGGGAAGTAGATTTCCTCCTTTTAGCAGTAGCTGCACATTCCAGCCTTCTTTTTCTAAGATGCTATTTTATTCTATGTAAATCCATCATGAAACTAGTCAGGCTATCCCTTTAAATAAAACTTTTCTATACATCTAAATGTGAGTATCTATGAGAGAGATGATGGTAAGGTATAGATTACCAAAACTCAATGAAGACATAATGCATAGTTAGCATAAACAGTAATTCGCTACCTTAACTCTAATATCCTAATGTTCAGTAAATCTATAATTTAGCTTGCTAAACTATGCTTTCATAGTACCTAGCATAGAGAGAGAAACATCACCAAGGTCTGGGTTCTGTCTTGCAAGTGGAAAAGTTGGAGAGATGCAGAAATGATGTACTTTCTTTGAAAAACTGGCAGTATCTTTTTAACCAAGCAATTGCTGTTTTTGCGTTTTGTTTCCTCATAAAATCCTAGCACCATCCCCATCACACCTGCAATTTTTGTATTCAGCAGCAGAGACTAGAGCTCAACAGCAGAGTACATGCTTTGCATGCAAAAAATCCAAGCTTGATTCCTAGTATCTTCAAATAGGGATATAAATGATGCCTGTTTGATAACTTAGAGAAACCTATAACTTAGAGAACTGTCTTGTCAGAGGACAGACAGTACTGAACCCGATGGCTGATTTGTTAAAAGCGGCTTCCTCCATTTTTATTGCTGCATTTAAATTCAGTGCATTGTGTATCTAGTTGGCATTACAGTTGCTTTGAGTATCACATATCCTTTCTCAGGGGATTACATTTATTCAGGCCCATTTTCCAGCAGATTTTCAACTTATGCATTTTTGGCAGTTTCCAGTGATCTACAGTATAGCAGTCCCAGAGAGCCCTTGGACATAGTTCTTGGCTTTTACTTGTACAGTCTATGCATCCCTTGAGTCTCATGTTGCAAGCAGTGGTTGCACTGCTGTTTGATATTTCCATTGAGATCAGCAGAACAAAGATTTGCAGTAAGTTCTTCTTCTATGCTTGTATGTCTGTGGGTAGCAATAATGTGATTTATTTTATACTGACATTTTACAAAAAACACTACTTGAAAATAATTCTTCCGCAACTGGGACCAAAAAAAAGAGTTTAGAAATGAAGAAACAGAGCCATGGGGAATTGTCAGCATTTAGAAGAACCAAAAAGGAGTGTGTGGACTGCAAGCGAAAAGACTATCAATTTTAGCATGAAGAAGAGGAAGAAAGGCTAGTCTTCATCAGCAGGCACAGGCCAGGTTTGACAGAATTACTCTGTTTTTTATTAGCATCCCAAGAAATACCAACTAAGAATAAGTTGTGAAAATATTAATATTTATATTTAGAAATTTAAGGATAGGAACTTTCTAAGTACATTTGGATCCAAGAATTTGTTTATTACCAAGCTAAACTAAAATCACATTTTTCACTTACAAGTCCATATTATATTTCAAATATGCAGCCTAATTCATTGTGGGAATGCCAGGTTTTATTTTTACAGTTTGTTAGTGTGAATCAAATCAATTGCAGGTTCAGTTACTTTGTCCTGATACCTTCGCAAGCAGATTGCAACTCATATGTTCTGTGTGGAAATTCCTTTGAAAATGGTGTTAGATGCAACAGAATGCAGAAATGAGTTTGTTACATGGGGCAACTAAATAAAACAATTTGCTTGACAATAAGACAAATTTCTGTACAAAGATATGTATTGCGGTGATCTAATAAGACAAATTCTGTACAAAGATATGTATTGCGATGATCTACCATTTTTATTTTCTAAGGATATCTATATCAAGTCCAAAGACATTTGAGAGGTGTAAGTGATGCTGAAGGCTCACAGTTTTGCAGGTTGTGGGTTTCCCATTTCATATCATATTTAATTAAAGGTATCTAAAAATGGAAATTAAGTCAAGTGAAAATTTGCTTGGTAATTATTAAAGGACACTTTATTTAAACAAATGCCACTTTATTGTTTTTTTCTCTCACTTTGTTTTCAGTTGATATAGTAATTGATTTGGCTAAGTCTCTCCTGATGTTTTAGATTCAAGACAACTTAAAATTAGATAATATGCAATGGATAATACCCAAAGGGTAATGCCAGAATTGACTAAATGTTTATTAGGCTATCCCTTTAAGTAAAATTGAGCCCTTTGGATGGCCATATTTTGTGGGGAATAGACTGATTTATCTTTGGATAGTTCAGTTTTAGTATCAAGTACAAAGGACATTTTTTTAACTATACTTTAGTTGTGTTTATATAACACTCTTAATCCAGTCAGTTAAAGATCTAGCAGCTTTATTTGTACAACATGTTAAATGTGGTTGTTTTTTGTTGTGGAATAATGCACTATGCAACCCAATCCATTTTGTTACTATTTAGTTCAGTGAATTGAGTGAACCCATTTAAAATGGATTAATTTCTTGCTAAAGCAGTTGATTACAAACTGAGTACAAGCCAACAGTATGTTGTAGCTGCAGACAAAGCAATAGAATTACAATTTCCAAATCATGGGAGGTAAAGAGTCTATTCTGCATGCATTGGCCACATCCCACCACAAATACTGTGACTGGTTCTGGGTACCACTTTGAGAAGGATTCAGAGCAATTAGAACATGCCTAAAAAGAGACAGTAAAAATGATCAGGCGATTAGAAACTAAGACCTATGAAGACAGATTGAAGACGTTTGATATACAGTAGTCCTCGACTTATGACCATAATTGAGCCCAAAATTTCTGTTGCTAAGTGAAACATTTGTTAAGTGAATTTTGCCCCATTTTATGACCTTTCTTGCCATGATTGTTAGGTGCATCATTGCAATTGTTACTGTATATGCTGGCGTATTAGGCGACCCGGCGTATGAGACGACCCCCGTCTTTATCGCCAAGCTGCATTCCTAGAACTTCGTCTTATACGCCGGAAACTACCAGTATTTCCGGCGTATAAGACGACTCGGCGTATAAGACGACCTCCGTCTTTGGCGCTGAGTTTAGCGCTTCTGGAAGTCGTCTTATACGCCAGCATATATGGTACATTAGTAAGATGGTTCTTAAGTGAATCTGACTTCCTCATTGACTTTGCTTATCAAGGGGTCGCAAAAGATAGTTACATGACCCTGGAACACTGCAATGATCATAAACAAGAGT